GTTGGTCTTTAGCATTATAGAGATTGGGCTTGGCGCACTTCTGATCCAAAACCAAAGCTTGGAATTGGCAGCATGATGACACCTCTACTTCAGTTTATGGGAGTTAACTTGAGGAAGGACGAAGCAGGCCCTAGGTTCATTGACAGCAATTACTTGAGGATTGCTACTTACTTCAGTGGGAGATATGGTGACCGCTATGTCTACCACTACACCCTGAAAGGCAAGCCGGCTGAGGTGATACTTCCCAACAAAAATCTGACGAGTTTAGAGAGGCCTGAAGCTATTAACTTTAACATATCAAGAAAGTATTTTCTGGTACACCACGAGTCTCTTGCTCTTGTCGGTTCGTCATCAAGGAGAAAGAGTGTCCGGATGAACGAATGCACACCTCAGGCAGCACAATCTGACCAAGTCTATGGCCCCTCGCGATATTATTTTGACCCTTATGGTGGAGTCCTACCCCCTGGTGCTCTTCGTCATGCGCATGAGCATATTGACAAGCTCCAGCGATGGAACAAGGTGCAGGACCGTGATTTCTTCAAGCTAAAGACCAAGTATAAGAAGCTGAAAATGATAGTGAGAAGCCGAGCAATGGCATCAGCTAAGTTTATGAAGAAGGTGGCTGATGTTTTGGTCAAGGTAGGAGTAGCATGATGTAGTTCCAGTGATTTTGTGGTGAGAAACACATCAGCTCCTCAGCCTCAGCACACCAGTCCCCCATGCACTGCTCGCCAGAGAGAGCGTGCTCAGCGCAACTTTTTGCCTCCTCCATCTGATTCAGGGAACAAGTCATCATCATTCACCTCCTCTAATGACGATTCTGGTGACAAAGTGAGTAGCACACCAATGGACCACTACAGTGCATAGTACAGCCACTACAACGCAGCATACAGCCACTACGGTGCCCCATATGGCTATAGCGCTCCACCACCAGGCTACTACATCAACTACCCTGACGAAGGCGAGTCCGAAGACAGTCCCTTCAACCCTGATAACTAGCAAGGTACTCTACTACTTTCCAGTGTACATACCAGTTTTCTTTTATGTTTGCATTTTAGCTCTCTTTTGGGTATCTCTTTCAATTTAACAACACAGAGACTATGTGACTTAAGTTTGGGGGAGGTACCAAGTATTTAACCATGTTTTCTTTGATGATTTTGAGTCTCATGCATTGCATTGTACATTCACATAAAAAACAAAAAAAATCGAAAATTTGAAAAATCAAAACAAAAATCATGTAGGTTGCATCATTTTCACTTCTAGGAGAGTCTAGGACATATAGCTTGCATTTACTTGCATTGGGAGCAATGATTTTAAAACACCTCAAAAAGAAGACTTGTCAAGAGCTCAAAGTGACACCCTAGTTAGACATATCAAGTAGCTTCAGCATCTCTTGAAAACCTTGCACGCTTCGAGCCTTGAAAACTCTTCTTGAAACATGTTTGCTTGCTTGAAATTGACACTGTTCTTGAAACCAGCTCCAATCTGAAATTTGGCTTAATGAACTTAATCTCTCTTGCATATGGGCACTTGCATACTTGATCATGGATCTCATACACATTTGGGTTAATTTATTCCATGCTACCACTCTTTTGTTAACCCAAATAGTACTCCACACCCTTAATTTGAACCCAAGTCATTCTTTTGAGACCAAACATTTGATTTGCATGAGTGAGGCCTTCTTTTGATAGCTTGTCATGTGCAAAATCTTGAGAGTATTGGAGGTGACATAGGATTGTTCTCATCTCTTTCTAGCATCTGGACCTTTTTTGAGCTAGCATCTATGATGGTGAGTGGGTTTATGTGTTCTAAAAGTTAATATCTTGGGTTTTGGATGAGAGATTATGAGAAAGTTAAGCTAAAGTATACCTTGAGAAAAGAAAGAAAGCCACTAAGAACCAAACCAAATGAAGAGAAGTTCTAGATTGTACCTAGAGGAAACCTTACCCTAAAAAGAAAAAAAATATATAAGAGGTTAGAGCTAAGAAGTAGAGAGTGTGAGAAAAGTCCCCATTTAGTGGTGTAATATAAAAAAAGAGAGAGAAAAAAAGAAGAAAGAAACTTGTTCATTGGGTGAGTGATGTGACGAAAGTCTATTTGGGATCATGGGATGAAGAAAAAAGGTTAGAACTTTTGATCACTTAAGAGAAGGGTAGAATGATGAGAATAAGACTATGTATGCATGAGTTGCATTTAGTCTTAGATAAATCTTGCATAATGATCATGCTTCTTGTTCTTGAGTGATAGCCACTAAAAAAATGATGCATTTGAGCCCTCCTTTTCATTCTCATTAGACCATTTGCTTGCCTAGCCAAATGATTGAGATCATGTACCCATTTGTGAGAATTCACTTTGTGTGTGTGTGTGTGTGTGTGAACTAATGTGAGAGCTGATTTAAAGACTTGTAAATTGAAGAGTTTTGAACCTTTTTAAAGACAAAAGAGTGTGTTGATAGGTCTAAAGAAACTAGAGTATAATAAGAGAGTGTGCTCATGCTAGTTGCTATGTCTCTTTAGGATGTTAAGTTGAGTTTTTAGATCTGTTTCTTTTGGTTATGAGCTCCCACCTTCAAACCTCTCTACCCATAAGCTCTAGAAAGTTTACTAGAGGACAAGTAAAGAACAAGTTTGGGGGAGTTGATGTTTTGCATATTTCCATTGTTTTACCCATTCATCCATATGCATTTTGATCATATAGACTAGGATTTAGTCATTTCTAGGTTGCATTTTGCATACATGAGTTCTTTTCAGATAATGGAGTATCCTTGGAGTTCTTGAAGGTGATTGTGTGGATTTGAGGTCCAAAAGAGGAGTTAGAGGTGATTACTGCTCGAGTAGAGGCCAGAGCGAGGTGCTAGAGCGAGTCCCTCTGGTTACTCCACAGCAGAGCAACACCCGAAGGTCGCTCCACGAAGTCGCTCCAGCCCCTCAACGAGAAGCAGCCACAGCGACGTGCCAGAGCGACCGGTCAAGGTCGCTCCCAACCCGGAGCGACGTGTGGAGCGACACACATAGGTCGCTCGCCTTTTCATCACGACGAGAAGCCAAAGATGGCCATGGAGCGAGGTCCGCGAGCGACCTGGCCAAGTCGCTCCAGCCCTAGAGCGACAAGGCCAGGTCGCTGCGCGTTTATTTGTGACAAAAACTTGTGTTATATTAAGGACCTTTTGGTCATTTGTTTCATGTCTTGTCATTTGCTAAACTTAAGTTAAGTACTCTGTAAGCCTCCTAGGCAGATCTTATCTTGATTTTGAAGAGAAAAACACAAAAACCTCTTGGAAAGTTCATCTTTTTGAATCATTCTCGTTGTTCTTGTGATCATGTTCTGTTTCATTGTTTATTTCACTTATTTTATATGATTAAGCTTGAATCAGGATGGGTTTAAGAGGAGTCATGTCGATTAGTGAGTAATTCACCTTTGAATTCATGGGATAGGGAGATTAAGGGTGATTAGACTAGAACAAGAATGTTTAGTGTAGATTTCTCTTATTCCTTGCTAGTAGAGTATCCTTAATACATCCTTTGAGTTGGTCTCTCAAGGGTTGAACATTAGGCATTTCACACCTCACAAGGTGTTCGATAAAATGCCTGAGTCAACTCTCCTAAGCTTTTAACACACTTTACCAAAGACATTTGTTGTTAAGGGTGTTAAGATGGCTATAGACTTGTTCATAAAGATTACTTCTCTAACATTCAACCGAAGACATTTGATGTTTGAGTTATGTTAGTAAATGAGCATTCATCTAGACATAGAGCTTGCTTAAAATGTGTCTAGGCTTAAGGTTGATAGTTTAATTGATCATTTGCCATCCTTAGTTTGAAATTTGATCACCCAAGATGTAATCCCCACTCCCATGGGTTCTCCTTTATCATAATCAAGGAAGTTATTTCAGTTATCGCTTTTCGTATTAGTAGTTATAGTTCAAAACCATCATTTATTCGATTGCACTTAGATTAAGTGAGTACTTTCATTCTCGGTGTTTTAAAATCCCTTAGAATTGGTTCGACAATCTTTTATATTACAACATTTGTTTTAGGAGCCTTGAAAACTCCTAACTTCAGTCTTGCTTTAATGGCCTCCCATACCTTCTTTCCCTTGTCAAGTTATCCGACTAGGAGAATGAGAACTTCGGGTATCGACTAGAATAGTAAAGCAATAGCCATATCATTTTTATCTCCCTCTGCTAGGTCTGCTTATATAACTTCCAATTTTTGTGTATTTTGAGTGCGATCTTCATCCTCATTGCCCAAACCGTATAATTTATGGCGGTAAGCATGGGGCATTGAATCGAAGTCGTTCCTCCACCTTTAGGTCTGACCGTTATTGGCACGATCTCTCACATTGCTCGGTACTGATGTTAGTTGTTTTTAAAGATCTTTTGATGAACATTATCCATTGTTTATCCGACGTGAATAGTAGTCGTCGTGAGCAGTATCCCGAAAACCTGTCGCTGGTACAAAATATAGAATCTCGATCTCAAGAACACAAAGTAAAAACTCAATAATAAGAATAAATCTCTTATTAATTTCCTAAAGAAAATCACTCAAAACCAAAGCTCTCTCTAACTCAAACTCTATCACAAAACTTATAAGTTATGCAACAACTTTCCATATCTTTATATAGAGATTAGATATCTCCCAAACTCTATGAACCTAATATATTTCAATATTTATTTTATTTCTTATCCTTTCCTAAATTATAATTCGGTAGGATTAGGTCTTTAACTTATATCTCAAGTTTCACTTTTTTCAAACTTAATTCAACAATAAATGCTAATGTTGATTTTGATTCTGAAATTGCAGTTGAATGTGGAGTATCATTACCCAGAAAATCCAAGATATTTCGACATAACCAATTGAAACTCTGATTCCGAAGTTGTATTACATTTTCTTTTCTTTCTTTTGTTAGAGTTATAAAAAAGTAATAATATTTCATTGTCAAATAAAAGGTTTTGTATGAAACAACACTCGTCTCATTGTTGCAGGTTTAGTATCTAACTTTTAATGATTTGAGAGATCAAAAGTTGGGATTTGAGAAGAGAAACCATGTGAGAGGTAATAAAGCAGCCTCGGCAAAATATTTCTGTAAGGATCAGATTCTCTGTTGGTCTTCAAATAGGTCATACATCTTTCTACCTCAGACTTGACCTCCAAGTAGACCTCATGAGCTTTCTCTTTATCATTTAGCTCTTTCTCTCTTCCTTGTGTTTCTATCGGTTTCCCAAAATATATGTAATAACGTCCCGGTATCTTTGGAATTAGTCCAGGCATATGCAAATCTTGGTTCCTCACTTCGCCTTCTTCATCGTTCCTAACCATATTTTATCACCACCAGCTTTTCATTACTACATACAATCTTGAAAAGAGATCGAATATATATTAAAAATACCTCAGCTTAATAGTGTCATGTGTTATCTCTTCTATGATATTCTTCAAGAAAGGGATCTTCATTTTGATCATTGTAATCCAAAACCATCTGAGATATCATTCCGTTGCTCAAGAATGTTACTGACTGGAACAAAAAAAAAAAAAACTAGAAGGAAAGAGAGATTTGTGCTTACTTGACAGATATCATCTTCTCCAACAGCACCAAAAGGAATGATTTTTGTTCCAAACTTAGCGATCCTCACAAACTCTGAATGTTCAGGCCAGAACAGCTTGTATTCTTCACACTGTAGAAAAATGTGTCAAGAGCCAAACATGGAGGAAACACTATCATTTCATTACCTTTCTGTGCAAAGCTTCACGGACACCTCCAGGATACAAAACCACATGAGCCTTTGAATGAAGCAGCTTGTAGAAATTCGTATTCGAGACAGGAACTGCTCCTATTATCCTAATTGAGTCGAACATCTGCATATCAGGAAGCTTTGAGCCTATCTTTATGTTAAACATTACAGGATGTGCCAACCCACGCAAGATAATGTTCCTCTCTTTCAAGAAATGAATTGCTGCTGGACGCAGTTCGAGACCAAGCAACATGTGATTGCCAACATACAGAACCAGTCCCTCTGAAGGTAATCCTGCAAGTGATCTTACTACTGTACCGTTTCCTAGAGTTGAGAGAAATACTGGAGAAACAGCAGTTGTTAGCAAACTGAGCCAGAGCAAAAATAATAGTACTTCAGTATTATCTTTTAATTGGTAGCAGAAGCAGAAGCAGGATACTGTCACTAGCTCTGTCTCACTTACCTTTGTGATTGTTCAAACTCTTTGAGCTCAAAGGGAGTAGGCAGAGTGTAATCAGAAATGTAATCAAATGTATTTCCACGGCGATAATAATAGGCAATCTTAAGGATAGTCGCCAGATCTACCCCATCCTCCTAACATATATAGAAACAGTCAAGCTGTAGATTAGTAAACCAAATACATTCTTGATGATGCAAGAAGTTTCAATATTGGTTATTAACTGGTAGAGACTAGATTTTCTTTATGACCTAATTGAAATAGGACTAAAAATCAAGAAGACGTTGTGTATCTATACAAAAAAATGTTCTAAAAACGGCACCTAGGTGTCAGCCTAGTGACACTAATCCCCTATAAAGTGTCTAATTACCGTCTAGTGATTTACTGGATGTTGTATAATATAGAGAGCACCTTACCAAGAAGAGCAACTGTCCATTATTTACAAATTCACGGACTTCACATTTGGGCAATGCACAACGGAGTCTTTCAGTGTCTTCTTTGTTCAGTAACCATTGATCACGTCCACTACAATAGCCATAGACGTATTATAGTTACAACTCGGCTTCATCTAGTAATTTAATAATGAAAAACAGAGAAGTTTATGAACCTCAAGAGTATCAGTGTTTGGGCTTTGACAGTGTGCATGTGGGATTTAGCAGATGCTGAAGCAGACTTAAGCAGCTGAAGCTTCCATAGAAGTGTGTCCTTTGGAAATATCCTAATCAGACTCTGTAAATAATTACTAGTTAAATACATGCATATATATATGATTTTCCAAACAAATAGAATCTTACAGGCATATTAGCTGAAGCTGCAAAGAGGTCTTTTAAGAACCCTCCACCCATCTGGGTGATAGTTTCATTCAGCATACTCACGAACATTGCTGCAAACGGACAACCTATATGACAAAAACACAGTGAGCCCTAACTTTCAAGCAAACCATGACACTGAAACCTAATCTGTTTCATATTTACATCAATACACGTGGAAGATTATACAAGGAGTTGAAACTTCACCATCTCTAAACACAAAATTTTCTTCTATCAAGCTGGGAACTTTGTCGGGCAATATTTCCAGTAGACTTGATAAAGGTTGCAACATGAAGTTGTTTAAACGCGTGACTGCATCAAAGAGTGTCTATTTTGAGCACAAACAAAGATGCATACATGATACATGATACATTTGTTGGATAATTAAAAGCCATTTGGGCTTGGTAAATTTAAACGTGAATTAGAAATGGCCCAATTCAATATGGCACAAGAATAAAGCTTGTCCCACATCGGGGAAAACAAGTGAGAGAGAGTTATATATATATGTTCTCATGTTATGAGAGTGTAAATAGCTCAGAGGAGAAGAAGGTGCTACACGCGCGCGCCGCCGCCGCCGGCCGGCTCGGCTGGGCGTGGGCGTGGGCTTTATTGTCGGGCCCCTGGCCCGATAAGAAATTATCTTTTTGGACCAAATTAAGCTCAAAGCTTGCCATTTAAACTTCAAAAAACAGCATGCAATTTTATTTAAAAAACGACAAGTAGTTTGTCTACCAAATAAAAAACGTCACGCTGTTTATTCCTCGCCAGATATTTTAATAACAACGAGAGAGCGAGTCTTGGGGGAGAAGTTTTCGTAACTTAAACCTCCCGAGATCTTTGCCAAATCCCCACTAACGAGCACACGTTACGGGAAGTTGCTCCTCGTCTTCTCTTTAAATATCAGCTCTCCTCTTTCTTCATTCTCAACTTTTTCACGCAAGTAATCCAACAGAAAACTCCCAAAGTAAGTCTATAGAGTGTTTCGTAATTTTTTAGTTCGTTAGGTCGTTTCACGAGTGAAGCGTGATTCGTCTGCCATGGTTGTATCCTGGGACTCAATATTCGTACAGTTTCGTCTCACTACGGAGCGAATATTAAGAGTTAAGGAAAGAGATTTATCTCGCCTCCATGTCTCATATAATCGTTGTTTCCTTAACTCCGTCTTTCTTATAT